AATTTAATAATTAACACTACAATTACCTCTTCATCATGAAATACGATCTCCAATTGTTTAAGATGAGAGGAATCAAAAGATTTCTCGAAGATACGAATTAATTGCTCGTAGTTTTAGCATGAATCTCTTACTCCTCTGAATCTGTCGGATTAAGCCAAATGGTTGATCCATGTTTTCTTTTTTTGTTTTTTCGGTTGTATATTCTCGGTAACCTAATTTTTATAAAATGCGTATGATATCTACATGGACTGATATTATGGTTGAGGTATTTATAGATATGGAATAAATTAATCAATGAATATATAAAATATTTGATATATTTATAAGAATTTTATATATTTTATATATATAATACCAAAATTATTTGGTATTACATATATTAGATATTTTTATTGGTTGAGATAATAAATAGTATCTAATTTTAACTCAGTCCAATTATTCGATAATGGCAATATCAAAGATTTGGTATTATCTGCACAAAAATTTGGAGTAGAATCATTATCATAGATTTGATATTATCTTTGGAAATATAAATTAATGCACTAATAGGAAAATAGAAATCTTTGACCATATTATTCAACGCACGTCGAAGGGAAAATCTCCCTTCCATTTGACAATCTTGGTTTGACCATGGATGATGATCCTCCATTTTCCTATGGTAGATTTATAGATGCCGATATTACTTTCAACTTGATAATTTGTCAAAATATAAAAACCACCTTCTTCAATATTGCCTTTGAATTTTTGGATGTTGACAGGACAAATAATGCCAGTAATTCGTACACCCTAAAACAATACAAATTGAATAATTAAATATATGAGCTATAAAATATAAAATATGTCACGTTGAATGATGGAATCGGAATTATTGGTGAATTAAATTTTAATCTTAAAGTTAAAATTAAAAATAAATGTAAATAATAATAAAAAAATATATTACCTCAACATCATGGAAGACAATCTCAAGAACATTTCGATAATTGCGTACATCTTCGACTCGTTGGAACATCCTAATAATGCGTAGCTTGATGGGTGGCTTTTTGGATCTGTCGATATCCTTGATGACTCCAAGATCCAAAGGCATTGTGAATGTTGTTGTAAAAGCTTGTCGAAAGAAATGGATTTGTGGGATGTGTATGATGTCGACTATCTGTTGAAAAGTTTGTGATATTTATATAAGCCCGTGCGATGAAACTATCGTGAACTATCCGATAAATTTTTAACGGAATCTGTGTTAATATCCGATATTTTTGACAATGATATTAATAATATCCCATAGGATCGATCGGATTTACTTACAAAAATAAATTGATGAGTTGGTTAAAAAATGAGGACTCTATACACGGCACTATCCGATAAATTTTTAACGGAATTATTGTTAGTATCCGATATTTTGACAATGATATTAATAATATCCCATAGGATCCGATCGGATTTACTTACAAAAATAAATTGATGAGTTGGTTAAAAAATGAGGACTCTATACACGGCTGAAATTTTGCACATGTGAGGATACCCATTGAATTCGCTTGTAATACTGTTTTTTTGGTAAATAAAATTGCAAAAAAATTGGAACAATATCGGAACAAACAATCGCAACATTTCTTTAACAGTATCGATTCCATCATTTGAAGAGAAGCGAAACAAATTTGAAGAAAATCCGCATCATTTAAAGTCAACGCATTATTGAATCCGATTTTATTGGGAAAGAAAATCGAAACAAATTTGAAGAGAATCAGATTTATAAATCAACTAAAATTTTGGTAAATGAAATCGCAAAAATATTGGAACAATATCAGCGCAAGACATGGCAATTCTATTTTTCCATAACGATTTTTGAGGTGATAAAGAGTAAACTTAAATTAGCAAGTCAAAGCATTATTTTTTTAAGTCAACCTTACTATTTTTGTATTTTTCCATCAACCTCTTTATATTACTATAGATACATGAAAAAGAAACAGATGAACAGAATAAAATGATCATCATCCCAACAAATACAAAAGCAAAGCAATGTTATTTTCTAGCTTGGCGGTTGTAGTTGTTCCTGGAAGTATTTCAGAAATATTGAGAGGAAGCAATGAAGATTTTGAGGGGTCCCTTAAGATTGCATCTAATGATTGTAGTGATAGTGCCTTCTATTCTTATGGAAACATCATCTAGTAATAAAATAAGCATATCAAGTTCTCAACCAGCTTCAAATAATTACAGGGTATAGGTGAAACGTTGACTGTGTGCCCAGGTATCCTATGTCAATGTGTAATTTTTTTATTTTTTTTTTTTTCAAATTTGATTTTTGTGTTGTGAAAAATAATGATGAAAAGACATGAATCTATATATATAAAGAGAATAACCATTTACTAAATATAGTAGCAAAAAAATCTAGGAATATTTAATACATACTTTTTTTGAAAACTTTTGAAATATATGCATTAATTGTTTGCATATACATGTTTCCAAATCAGATCAAATTGATTTTTTATTATTGGTGGTGATAATATTTTGGTCAAAATAAACATAAAAATATATTTTAAATTCTAACTATATTATTATATCTTTTTCACAGATATTGACTTTTCATCCAAAAATTCTTATAGAAAATCATGACAGGTTAGGTAAACGTTATTCTTCCAATTAATCAAGCAAAATCAAGTTAGCGAATTATTCTTTACCAATATATTTTTTTCCTGAAACTTTATATATAAAAAAAATTATTCTTCAAATTAATATAATTTACTATTTAAGAAATAATGACTAGATACATCAAATAATTTTACTAATGGCCAGATAATAAAATTAAAATATTAACTATTCTTTACAATTTCAACATGCGATTTATTTGTATATTATGTCAACCATAATTAATTTTTTTATCATTATTTTATTTTGATTTATTTCCATGATGATATTCTTATAAAATATATTTTCAATGCATGGTATGATAATAAACTACAAACCTTATGATACAAATTAGAAAAATCTCTTGATTGTAGAAGGAATTTAGTTTTTAGCAATTGCTAAATCAAAGTTGTTTAACTATTATAAAAAATAAATTCTAAAGTAATCGTGCATATTTTATAAAATATTTATACAAAATATTTTATTTTTAATTTATTTCGTAATTTAAATTTCCTACATTAATAATAATATTGGAGTACATTAAATATTTTCATTATATAATATAAAAAGAAGAAGAATACTACTTCTATAACCCTTAAAAAAAAAATATAATGACATTATATGACAACAAATTTTATAATAAAATAATAAATTAAGTATTATATATTTTATTTTTTTTCCAAAACAATAGGGGTATTATATCACTAAAACACGGGAACATAACGTTCGAATACAAAGGGCAGCCGCCCAACTCACCCACTAAACTGAAAATGAGAGGACACGCACGCAGGCAGCCTAGACACACGACCAAACACACAATAGCTATGGCAGGATCACCGAGCCCTTAGTCTACATAACCAAACCTGTAAAGAATAAACTAGCTACTGTCATCAAGGACCTAGCAAGTACACTTCCCAACAGAAAACAAACACAGAGGACTACCAATACAAGCTAAACCAGAAATGAAAACACAAGAGAACACCAACAAGCAACAAACTAAGAATCAAGACAACAAACCAAAAATAGAAAGACAGCCGCAACACCAAACCATTATCACATAGCCAGAAACTGCTCACCCCCTACCTGCTAGAATATGCAAAACTGTTATTTTTTTCTTATATATATATATATATATATATATATATATATATATATATATATATATATAACTAAAATCAATTTTACATTAGTAAAAATGATTCGGCATAGTAATATATTAATTAATTCACAGACTAGGGCTAATAGACTCAGGTTTAACGTTATGACTAAAAAAACAATATTGATTGAAAGAAGTGGAAAATAGATGATTTAACTCTATTATTTTTCAGGCCTAAGTGGAAAATAGATGATCCTATGAAAATGACTCATTTAACATCTCTATCCCGTGCATCGCACGGGCTACGTACTAGTTTTGAGAACGAAATACATTTAGAAACTTTTGAATTTTTGTTTTTATGATAGTTGATTCTACATTCAAATTCAATCACGCAAACAGATATAAAGAATTTGACAAATAATGAATTATAACAATGGGGCACGAGTCAACAACTAATTAATTGCAATTTTACACTTCAATAAGAAACTTTAGCAAAATTACAAAATCCTGTAATTTTTATTGCAATTATACGGCACATTAAGTGTAGGAGTAATAATATATTTTATTCAATTAACACAGATTTTGTGGGATAAGTTACCAAATTAAATCAAAACTAACTCCCCATTCTTTCTTATTATCAAACCTACGAACACACAACACAACTCCATTATCAGTAAACCCTATAGTTGCATATATATATACTGTATATTTTTTGGATATATACTGTTTATATTTTTTTGTATGCACCCTATTAGAGTGTGTATAGTTTGAATTTTTTGTACGAAAGATTTGAATTGAAAATCATAAGGATCGGCATAATCCTAGGTATATATATTGTATATTTTTCGTATATATACTGTTTATATTCTGTATATGTTGTGTTCTCCACCATCTCGTTGCTTAGAAAATGATCCTAGGTATATATAGTGTATATTTTTTACATATATAATGTTTATATTTTGTATCTTTTCTGTATATTTGCTGCTCGTGATGGGACGATGTTGCTCGTGATTGTATAGTTCTGATNATGAAAGAATTCCGTCAGTTACGGGATTGTTGGGATGGTAACTCTTTATTTTTTGTTTGGCAGTTATATTGTAGTTATCCAAATAATTATGTTAATCTAGGCATACTTGCAAATAAGTTTTAATTTTTGTATTTATACAATTATTTTAAAATCCTTAACGTAGAAGTGCAAATTACCCAACAAAATATTTAAATTTAGTTGGGCCTGAGATCTGCTAAAGAAAGAATTTGACACAGAATTATAACAAAACATTTAAATTTAGTTCGGCATGGCATCTGGAAAGCCCATTTATTGTATTCACCGCATCATCTCACGGATTACCGACACTGTATTCTGCAGTGCTTTAGAATCCAATGTATTCTTTTTGAAAAATATCAATAGAAAAAAAAAATATAAAAAAAATGACACAAACATTATCGAAACGAAAATTGGATTGCATTGACTGACTCGATTTACAAACTAATAATCTTAGTCACAACACTGAACCATAATTACACAGACTATTTCAGCATTTCTTGGGGCTGAACACGTTTTGTAGTCTTCGCCATTTTTCCAGTTCCACAATAATAAACTAAACAGATGCCCACGACAAACCTGTAATTATGGAGGCCAAGATTTTGTTCGACACGATAGAAATGTAAAAAAGAACCAAAAAGGAATTTATTCTTCAAGAGGAAAAAAAAATGGCATGGGCTGGCTTAAATATCTTCATGAAACAATACGAACAACACTTCTGGACTAGCTACAACAGAACCTCAAAATGTGCGGGATTGAAGCAGGGCCGAGGTTGATCAATATTGGAATAAATTCGAAGAGACAAGCTGAACAATAAAACCGACAGGCATGAAGGAGAAAAAAAAAATATACTTGTTTGTAAATCACAGGATATCCAATAAACGAAGATAGAAACGGCTATGGATTTTACGGAGAAGAGAAAATAAGAAAGGCTTAGGTCGAAAATTAGAAATTTCGATCAACAGGGGATTCCCCTGCGACAACTCAAAGCACCAGCAGTGGAAGTGAGTGGGCCCACCAAGGAAGACGATTTTGCTGCCAGGCTGGAGGCTCTGGCATAGCTAGCGGCAGCCCCACGGCCTGAGCGGGTAAAAAATGCCCCGTTTAGCATGAGGTCACCCTCTGATCTCCAATTCCAATGCCTCCAGTTGTCATCGGGACCTATCACTCGGTGGGTTACCTGTGATGGTGGAAAATATACGGGTTAAGTTCATATTTGATTATGAATAGTTGTTCAAGTGTTGTTATTTGTGGTAATTATGGAACCTCCTTAGCGAAAGGGTTGACTGGCGCTAGATATCTGTTACCCTGGCTGTTGATGGTGGGGTTAGCACTACCACCAATAGCATACATCTCCCAGTGTGTGTAGTCATTGTTCACCACATGAAAGTATCCATGCCTGCACCTGATATTTCCGGACAATGTTTATCACATACTTAAATCAGTCCATGAAAAATGGTTGTAACAATGACGGTGAGTTAGTAACT